GATAGATAGATAGATAGATAGATAGATAGATAGATAGATAGATAGATATAAATAGACAGACAGACAGATAGATAGATTTGATAGATAGATGTAGGTAGGTAGGTAGGTAGTTATAGATGAGAGAGAGAATAGAGATAGATAGATAGATAGATAGATAGATAGATAGATAGATAGATAGATAGATAGATAGATAGATGATAGATATGGATGGATGTAGAAGATGATAGAAGATGATAGAAGATGATAGAAGATGATAGAAAATAGACAATAGAAGATTGATAGGTAATAGATGATAGAAGCAAGAAGAATGATAGATAGATCTAATTTACTCTACCTAATTTTCTTTTTAACTTTTGTAATATGTGATTTTTTTAATGTTGTACGCCGCCCTGAGTCCTTTGGGAGGGGTGGCATTTAAATCCAACAGACAGACAGACAGACAGACAGACAGACAGAGTGATTCAGTGCAGAACTGGCTCTTCAAAACTAGTGGATCCATGCTCAAGAAGAATTAACTATAAGCTGGCACGCCAAACTCAATCATGGGCGTTGGCTACAATCCAAGTACAATGTGAACTGCCTTTCTTTGGTTTATGACATTGTTTAATTGTTGGAAATCCACCTGGACAATTATGATTCCTTCTGCTTCAAGTTTTATTTTGACCTCCCATATGCATCTATCAACTTTTTTTTTTTTTTAAGGAGAAAATTGTAGAAAGAACTATGTAATGGCAATTTCATTAAAGCTTTAGGGATTATCTTTGAAGGGAGTAGGCAAACCGGATTTAAAATACTGGATGCATTCAAATAAAATATTTGCCATCTGAGGGGAAAAAAATCACGTTCGAAAATACTTTTCAGTTTAAGGAGAAAGTCCTGATTAGTACACCATATTCTGATTACTAGATTACAGTTGTTTCCATCTTCACGTTAATTGCTTTCTTACCACAGATGGAGAAAAACCTTCGGAGACTGAATTTAGGCCACTGTTGAAGGATGAGCACATTATTAACCCCAAGTTTCTAGGTCAGTAAACAATTTCGTTTCCATTTGTCAGTATGACCCAAAATTAACTTGAAAATAAAACAAGGAGAGAAAAACTGGATTTCACTTGAATATGTTGCAGATGAGATGTTTTGGAAAACATAGCTGTATTCATATTTTTGTTTAAAAAAATTCATTTTGTTTATTATTTTTGTAAAAATTCAAACCAAGGGACAAGTATAATATTCCTTTCCTTTTTCTGTTTTCGCCATAACGACAACCTTGTTGGGTGGGCTGGGGCGAGAGAAAATGACTGGCCCCAAATCACCCAGCAGGTACTCCTTAAGGCGGGATTAGAACTCAAAGTCTCCTGGTGATTGGTTCACCAATCAGCTTTCACGCCTGAGGCAGGACTAGAACTCACCATCTCCTTGCTATATCAAAAGCCTGCGAACAACATTATTCTAATTGTAAGCATTTTTGAGGCTAAACAGTTGACCTGAAACTGAACTTTAGTTTAAATAATTACCAATTAGGCTATTCGTTGCATTTCCCAGTTGAAAAAGCGAGGTTAATTCGGGTGAACTAATCATGCATTCCTTTTACATAAAGCTAAATTAGGAAGTTGTCAAGAACACAAGGGACCATCCTCAAGGATGAAATCCAGACGGATTCATCGGAAGTCAACTTTGGATATTCCCCCGGCTGAAGGTACAGTAAGCTTGTTGTTATGAAAAAAGAGCGGGAAGCTTGGATGATTAAACATTTTGATGGTTAAAATGTTTTTATTTTCCATTTTTCATTTTCATACAGTCACTTATGTACTGTGCATAGCTGGGGCCATACAACATTAAACAATAATCACAGCAATTCCTTTTGTCAACAATACCCCCAAAAATGGAAATCCAATATACCTCTTCCCCTCTCCATACACCTCTTTCT